ACTCCTTGGTAAAGTAAGTTTATTTCCTGGATTACTTTTTGTTACCTGATTAGCTCACAGCCAAGAGCTCAAATACCCCATCTGAGATTAAGCATTGTTGCTCTAAGACTATAATTTATTATTTCTGGTAAGATAGTAATAAAGCAGTTCATACCACTTAGAATCATAGAATGTTTGGGTTGGAAGGGGCCTCTAAATGTCATTTAGTCCAACACCTCCACCATAAACAGGGACATCTCCAGCTAAATCAAGCTTCTCAGAGCTTCATCAAGCCTGACCCTGAATGCCTTCAGGGATGGGGCCTCCACCACCTCTCTGGGTAATCTATTCCAGTGGTATATCACCCTCATACTAATGAACTTTTTCCTGACGTCTAACCTCAATCTCCCCTTTTCTAGCTTAAAGCCATTACCCCTCGTCCTGTCACTACAAGCCCTTGTGAATAGTCCCTCCCCTGCTTTCCTGTAGGCTTCAAGGTTGCTATAAGGGCCCCCTGGAGCCCCCTCTTCTCCAGGCTGAACAGCCCCAACTCCCTCAGCCTGTCCTCACAGCAGAGCTGCTCCAGCCCTCTGATCATTTTTGTGGCCCTCCGCTGGCCGCACTCCAACAGGTCCACATCTTTCTTGTGCTGGGGGCTCGAGAGCTGGACACAGGACTCCAGCTGAGGTCTCACCAGGGCAGAGTAGGGTGGCAGGATCACCTCTCTCCATCTGCTGGCCACCCTTCTTTTGATGCAGCCTAGGATGTGATTGGCCTTCTGGGCTGCCACTGCATGTTGGTGGCTCATGTCCAGCTTCTCATTTTCTAGTACCCACAAGTCTGTTTCCAAAGGACTTCTTTCTGACATGTCCTCTCCCAGCCTGTATTGGTAATGCTGGTTGCCCTGGCCCAAGTGCAGGACCCTGCACTTGGTCTTGTTGAACCTCGTGAGGTTCACCTGAGCCCACCTCTCCAGCCTGTCCAAGTCACTCTGGACGGCCAGTCCCTCTGGCATATCAATTGCACCTCCCAGCTTAGTATCATCAGCAAACTTGGTGAGAGTGCACTTGGCCCAGAAAATGAGTTGATAACTGGTAAGACACTGTAGAGCAGGTTGCCCAGAGAAGCTGTGAATGCCCCCTCCGTGGACGCATTCAAGGCCTGGTTGGATGAGGGTTTGAGCAACCTGCTCTACTGGAAAGCATCCCTGCTCACGGCAGAGGGGTTGGGACTAGATGATCTTTCAGGTTCCTTCCTGAAATGCCACTGAGTCAGGGAAACCTGGGGGAGGCCATTAGTTTGTCCTTCCTGGCTTCTCTGCAGAAGGCGGGAGATCTGTCTTCCTGGAGAAGAGAATACTTAGTGTTCCTCTGCACTAAATTTTACCTGGGGTGGGCTTGAAAGCCTGATGAGCCACTCTGGTACAACCCACCTCTTCCTTTGTCATTCTCCATTTCACAGAGAGAGTGCACAAAACTTGGATTATTAATTTCAAACTGCTGTAACAAAGAGGGAAGTACAACTCTGCCTCTTTCAGCCTCTGTCTAATTCCCTTCAAGCTTCTCAGAACTACTTTTACTCAAACTTGACACCTGACATATAACACTTAATGGGAAAGTACTTTATTTTTATGCTTTAGCTTTGACTTTATTTTTCTTTAAATTAGGTTGAAGAGTTATAACCAGTACTTAGAAAGTCCCTTCTGTTCTCCTCGTCAATTTATGCTGCTTCTGATACAAAAAGACTAAGGAAGGGAGGCAGAAAACCATCTATAAGCCATATTGCTTTCATTTTTGATAGAATTTTATATTCACTCAGAGTTCCCGAGTATTAACAAAATGTGGCATATTTGTAGTGTTACTTAATACAACAATTTATGAGACATATAAAATGACTACTTTTACCAAACTAGCATGGTAACATAACTAATAGCAGTCTATTTCCAAATATGATAGAATATAATTTTTTCCTCTGTAGAATTTTTTTCTTATCCACATCATTGTTTGATATATAGTTTCTGAGTTTTATATCTCAGGTTCCTGTAAAGCACAGAGGAAAAGCCTTGTTCTTTTTTTGCATTTTCCTTATGTGTGCAATAATACGTCAATTAACAAGTGTAAAAATCCTAGTCTTGAATCTCCTGGAGCTGTCAGGTTTGTCTGGTTTAAATGAGCTTCCAAAAAGCTGCAAGTGATAAGCAATGGTAAAAGAAAAGCTCAAGGCACAGGCTGACAGATGATTGCAGTGTGTTAGTAAATATTAAATGTTAGGTCTTTCACTTTGCAAAACCAATCTGGATGGTCTCTCAACGTGGGGAAAATCTGGTGGCTCAGCTATGAGAAACTGTAGCTCTCACTGCCACAGCACCACAATAAATGGCAAAGGGAGGATGGCCTGGAGGTGAAAAGTTACTCTGAAATAAAGGACTTTCAAGTGAATTGATGACAGGAGAAAGTTAAGAACAGTAAAAAAAGAAAGAAGCTCCCCCGGTATTCCCACTACCTAATCTCAACCATCCCCAACCACAAATTTCCCACCTTTACACCCTGTGTGTTGCAAAACTGTTAAGGCAAGCAAGATACAAAACAGCTGCAAAGATAAAACTGGAGCTCTCTGTTTTGCCCTACGGCCTAACACATCGGTATTTCTGTGCAAGAAAAAACAGGCTCAGTCATATAAACAGCTGCTGTACCCACGTTTTTAAAGGTGTTGAAAAGATACTAAACTGGCTTAAGAATGGATGTGAGATCTTGGAAAATAAGAAAATGAAAAAAAGTGCCAGTCTGATTACAGTAATCTCAGGTACAGAAAACACTGCATATTGAATATGAAGAGATCATGAAACCTACCCAAGAAAAAAAACGGTGAAACAGAATACATTCAAATGAGAAACAAAGCAAACACTCCTAATAACAGAGTAAATCAAGCAACAATCCAGTAGATATGAAGTGATGGATTCATTTAATCTCTGGAAGCCTTTACAGTAAGATTGAGTGCCTCTTATCAACAGCACTGATGGAGTATAGGGATGAATTATACAGTGTGTGAAATGCATGAAGCCACAGCATAAAATAAACCTTTGCTTTCAAGCTGTAGGGCTTTGTTTACATGCAGATATCCTGCTGGCTGAATTGTGGGAAACAAGGAAGGAAATAAACCCAAACGAAACATTTATCAAAGGACAAGATCAAGAGAAATGGGTCCTAAAACAATAGTTAGAAAAACAGTAAAAAACACATGAAATAAATCAAATGGGCAAATTATGTTCTCAGTTGCCTACATATTAAAACATACCAGTGTTAACTTTTCTATGTGGACAGATGTGTCTTTCTTTTGCTGAACACTTGTCCAACATGAAATGATATTGTCATTAAGAGGCAGACCAGTATCCAAACTCCTTCTTCCACTACCACATCACACACCAGAGATCCAAAGTATCAGACAGCTGAAGAGAGGAACAAGTCAACACATGCACTCACCACAGAGGATGTGCAGAAGGGAGCAGGCTGGCTAAGGCACTCTGCCATGGGAGAAGGAAGGACCCAGGCCATGAGTTCAGTTATGCAGTAGCTTCCCAGGGAGAAACTCATGATCTTTATCCACTGTCCTAGAAACTCTGCCTGCTACAGAGTCAGGGAGCCCTTCCAGCAGCCAGAATTCTCATACAGCACCCCCACCACATAAGCAAACCTCCCAACACTACTGCAAGTGGAGTCAGTTCTTATAAAGGTGGCTTCTTGCCCTGTCCCCAAGTTAATGTGGAAGGTGGGGGCACCTGGTGGTGGTCTCCTCATCAGTTCCCACCCATGGCTGGCCAGACCCTGGGTGAAAACCAGTCAGGAGGGTCTTTCTTGCCTGGTTGTGGCATCATCCATACGCCAACCTTCATTCAGGGCTGGTGGTTCGACCCCAGCACTTCAGTATTGTACCCTACAGTGACCATTACCTGCATGGTCACTTTAATAGGGACAACTATTTTAACAAAGAAGGAAAGAATGGAAACAAGACAAAGAACAGCAGCAAAGAGATGGAGCTAGTAACTTTAGCTTTTTGGTGGCATGAAAACATAACTTGCGAAGCAAAAAATACCCTAATTCTGCATTTTTTTTTCAAAGTAAATCAGAGGGGTTTTGTTTTCATAATTGGTATTAGGCATCATTGAAAGTCTAAGAGAGTAGAGTTGTCCCTCTATACAGATGGCCTTGTAGAATTGTTCAGTGGAGAGCTGGCTATGAAGAGTTGCCCCATTCCGCTTCTGTGGCCATCAATGCCACTATGCCTTTGCCAGTGCTGCTTAGGGAGCTGGGTGCAATGGGAGCTTTGGAAAAGGAAAATCCTTTCCCTTTTGTGTTTTCCATCAAAAGATGCTGACTCCAATCAGAGAAGTCCCACCATTCTCAGAAAGTGCAGACAGCCATTACCCAGCTTGTCTTGTTTCCAAGCTTTATGCCTCACCTGGGCAATTTCTCCTGATCAGAAGACCCAGAATAATCAGCTGCCATCATCATTGATGCTGGGGGGAAGAGCTACAAGGAAAGAAGGAGGCTACTTTCAAAGGAAAGTCTGTGAAGAACTGTGAGCAAAATTATTTTTTAATTATTTTCAAAGTGGTTGTCTGAAAACATTTATTTTAGGGTTATCTTATACATTGTCAGCAAAATGAAAGGAAAACTCAGTCCAAGAATAACTTAGAAATTCAGATAAAAATTCAAAACAAAGCTTCTAAGTATACATTCATAAACAAAAAAACCCATAGTTTTAATCATTACTTGTGCAGCTCTAATCTGGGTGTGGTTCAGTGCATTTGAACTATTCATTCAGTTGTCATGAGATGCAAGTTAAAAGATGCTCTTGAGATCATTCTGACTTGATCCTGCCTGACAGTGTCTAGCCTAAAGCCACTTCCACTAAATACTGTGCCATTCACTGGAACAATTCTCAGATAAAGGCTCCATTGAAACAAGGAAACAATCCACCAATTAACACTCCAAAGAAAACACTCTTGATATAAAAACACTTTTGAGGAAATTCTGGTTCTTTCCTTTACAGCTTGGCGAGTTCATTATCGCCTTCCTTGTCACACCAACAGAATGGGAACGTCCCGCAGCAGGGCTGCAGCCACGGCTTCCACACCGCGTTGTGCCAGGAGAGCTGCTCTGGGACTGGGGTCAGTGTCCTGCGGTGCTCCTCCACGGCTCTGCCAATCTTCCCTACCACAGTGCCAAAGAGGGGCTCGGTCTCAGCCGACAGAGGCTGGGCTTCAGAAGGGTCTCGCGAGAGGTCGAACAGCAGCGGAGGGTCATGGTGGGTCACACCTTCCCCAAAACACGGGCAAATGCCTTTTCCATAGCAAGCCCCAGCCCCAGGTGGATGAAAGACAGGGGTCACGTAATGAGCCTTCCAGATGGCTCCACCTGGCAGGAAAGAAAGAAGGCTTGCGGTGATAGTGGTGTTTATCACAAGGCAATAGAAGAATGAATGTTTTTTCTAGAATTCATTTCTGGTTGCACTTTATCTCTGTGCTTAATGGTTGACATGGTATTGTAATTTAAAGTTAAGTGCCACAGAGTTAAAACAATAATGTAAAATGATCTCTGATGTTTTGAAATGTCTCCAGAATTTTCAGCAAATATCAGTTATTTCTTACTGCATTTTTAATGACGACATGCAAAAAAGATTTGGTGTTTTCATGGCTTGTTGCCTTATTAAGGTAGCAGAAGAACAGACAGAGCTGAGGCAAGGACTGTTCCATGAGACAAAGGAGTTTTTGCTACACAATACAGACCATGCTGCTAAGTTCTTTACCACCTTACAACCCGGAACTACTTGGAAAGCTGCAATCCCAGAAAAAAAAAAATGTGTTCAACAAATGTGCTCTCCCATAGACTCAACCTAATTCTTGAGAAAGAAGTTCTGTACTCACTGTCCTTCTGGTGCCACCGCACAGCATGTAAGTGAATGCCACAGTAGTGAAACAGGAACTCGTGCTCTGAGTGCTCAACTCTTCCTTGCAGTAAAGGCATCAGGTCCCGGCCATCAATAACCCTAGCAGAAAAAAAAGGTGACCATCAGACTGAGGGAAGCTGTGCAGGACTGCAGCCCTTCTGCACACCTCTTGCTGGAACTGGCAACTCTGAATGAGGAAGATGGTTGTAGAAGATTGCAGGTAGATGAATCTCAAATTAAAAGAAGAGGTAACTGAGCTGTGGTCACATTTGTGAGTCTAGAAAATGAGCAGGAGGGAAAAAGAAAATGTCAAACTCTTAAAATATGTTTCCAAACCAGATTTTCCATTGTTTTTGGAGAGAAGAAAGAATAAACACTTGTGTTTGTACCTGTCCTGGGGTAGTACCCCTCCAGCCAGATTAACTACTGTAGGATAAATGTCCATAAGGCTGGTGGGTTCATCAATAACTGTGCCTTCAGGTAACACTCCTGGCCATCTAAATATCCCTGGGACACGGATTCCTCCTTCCCAGCCTCCCATAGCTTTTCCACCTTTTAGAAAAAAGATAAATTTTAATTTTAAAAAAGTTTAATGTAAAGATAAACTTTAGACACATGGTATTGTATTTTCATAAGCTAACGTGACCTTTATGAGCCTTCTTTACATTTACATTTTTACTACTAATCTCCTTCTACTCAGCATCAGTGAAAGTGTGTGCACTATATCAGACCTCTCAAGATGCAACTAATATTTAGTGAGAAGTTACACAGTCTTAATTAAAAATAACTTGTGATCAGTTGCCACATGAGGAAATGACAGTTTGAGAATTCAGGCTTAAAAAGAACACCTGCACAGGCTAGAATTGTCTAAGTTTTTAAATGCCTAATTAGAATGAGACAAATTTGCTTCTCAGTGCTAAAACACTGTTACTCCTTGAGCACACAGTCTTATCTAAGGTTTGGGGGTGTCCTGAGTACTTTGCTAGTTGTTGCTGGCTTGTCATCATCCCTGACAGCTCTTACCTCTGTATATTCCATTCCAGCCACCCAGCTGCCTTTTGCCTTCTTGTCTTTCCAGCCATCCACCATGATCAGAGGCAAAGTAAACTAGTGTAGTATTTTGCAAGCCTTCATTGTCAATAGCATCTAGAACCTGGCCTATAAACACAGGAAGATGTGTGTATTAAAAAGCAAAAGTATCATTTAACTCCACACAAATTTTAGCCTCTGACTTATGAACGTTCATTGGTGCAATTATGTATTTAGGGCTGCTCATCATTTTAAAGAAAAGTTTTTAGGACTAAGATTTGTAGCTGTGATTTCACTGTCTGTAAAAACACAGAAAATTTGTGATGTGCTGTAATCCGTTTATTATCAGTGTTATGACAAAGCAGTGCAAGAACCACAGTCAGAGACCAGTAGCCTCTATTGCAAAGGGCAAAAGTGCTGGATGCTCTAAAAATATGGAAAGCATGATCCAGAGCCCCCCAAAATTACATTCTGCATCAGTGGTGGCCGTCATGAGACATGAGGAAAAAATGTCATCTACCCTTATGTTGTCTAGATCACAATTGATATTTGCATTAAATTAATGAATGGATATCATATGAATTATTAATATGGTTCTTTTTTGGTTAAAAGTCATTCTTGAGTTGTTTCTGATGTTCTTAATTATTGTTGTGGTGTGTGATAGGTAGGCTTGAAAACTAATTATTTCTATAGGTGTACCTGATTCTTATCCTTTTGACAAAAGTGGCTACATTTCATCCACCATGGCTGAGTGATAAATAATTCTCCTTCCCCTCCAAAAAACAGGCTGAAAAATAATAACAGGAGTCTAATTTCTGGGTGCATAACAATTAACATTTACTAACATTTCTGGATTTATGATGGAGCTGAAAACTATTCAGTACTCTGTTGAATACAGCACTCACAAAGAAATTTACAGGAATTCATTTTCTTATCAGTCTTACTGTCTTTTGATGTGTCCTACTAAGAAATAGGTAATGACCATAAGAAGGTGAAATTAACTGATCTTTAACAATCATAGGAAACTAAATTATTCTCACTTATTTAGTAAGAAGAGCAGGAGAGCACCTTGACAAGAGCCAAGGGGACATGGTTCAAACTGGTAAATACTACACCAAAAAACCTGAGTGAGCAGAAGGACTCCTTTGGTCTAGGACTAGAGAAAATAAAAAGCCAACACTAGAAGCCAACAATGCTCATACAAGATTGACAGCCGTTCAGAAAAAGCTTTGGACTTTTTCCTTCTTGTTTTTAATTCTCTTCCTTGTTCTTTTAATAACAACCTCATTCTTATTATATGTTCAGACTTAGGTATTAGGCAGTTTGAAACATTTTTATTTGCTGTGGTGACTTACCCACCATCCAGTCCATCTCCTCTACATTGTCTCCATATAAGCCATGGCTGCTCCTCCCAAGAAACTCCTTTGTGGTGAGGAGAGGGGTGTGGGAGTGTAAAAAGGAAAGAAAGAGGAGGAATGGCTTCTGCTTATTTCTGAAAAAAATAGAAATCAACACACTGTTATTAGGAAGGAAGTTTCTCAATACATACAGAGGTCAGTTTAATGGAAAATTCTATTGTGGTTTGCATATATACGTATTTCAGCAATCACTTCAGAGACATCTTACTTTGTAAGTTATTAAAACCTACTGATTAGGATCTGTCTGATAAAATAATGTTTGGCCTATCTAAAAAGAGCCTCTTCTTTCACTGAATCATAGAAGAGTTCTATACTGAAGCTCCACTTTCTGCCACTGGAAACTACCACGGTGCTACTGAAACGAAGGCAGCAGGTTCATCTCCTGCCAGCAGAGCCCATGTATCGGTCTGTACAGTAAGGCTGCATCACAGCTCTGCTTCTCCTTCCTTGGCCCAAAACCACATTTCTGCCATCAGCTGCTATCCCTCAAAGCTGCAATATTGGTCGCATTGATAGAAATACGTATTTCCTCAATATAGCCTAGAAGTATTCAATCCAACCCATGGAAATCTGGAAATGTAGTCAGTTTTAGTGAAGCTGGCAATAACAGACATACTTAAGCAGCAGCTTGTTTGTTTGTTTGTTTATCAGTATGATATAATTATTAATATTATTAATAGTAGGTAGAATAGTACTTGTAATCCTATATAATATCGTAAAAATTATAAAAGCTTAACATGAGAAAGTGCCATTTAAATGTTGCAAGACATGCAAGAAGAACCAGAAAAGTTGTGATCAAAGGAAAGATACTTTACCTTTCAATAAATGAAATGGACTCTCTCAAGATGAGGGACGTAGTCCTGTCTGTCACCATTGGCTGTTCAGTAACTTCATGGTTTCTCATCATAATGCAGTTCCAGTATCGTACAAACCCATAACTTGAGAACCAGGATATGAAGAACAGGAGGCTAAACCCAGCAAGGCAGGTCAGCATCTTCCAGTGGATGGAAATCAAGCCGGTCAGCCTTCCCAAGGCAGCAGTGAGTGTAACCAGGCCAATCATCTGAGTGGAAAGCCAGAGTTTCCTTCTAAAGGCTCTGTCCATCTCTGGTGTTTCTGTTGGTTGGCAGTCACTTATTAGTGTAAAAGGCATCCCATAAAAATAGTCAAACCCGTGGTTTAAAGGGTGATGACAATGGTCGTTGCGGGATTCACAGTTAACACCTTGATGCCACTTCCCTGAAAATACAGATTATTAAAATGTGAAGAGATCATATTTTAAAACAGGCTTTTCCTCATACAAAACATTTCTTGAAAAAGGGTTGATTTTTTTTCACTACTTGTGGTAACTTCTTCATCCTACACATGTATGACAAGTATGTAGTGATACTGTGGGATATCTCTTACGATGGATGAAAATAAACCTCTACAAATTACAAATTTCCAACAAAATTATTGGTGATCTGTACAAGATATTCATGCTCTGTGGCTTTTATCAAATGCAAAAACCTGGATTATGAAAGGAACTATTCAAACAGACTGGTTAGGCGCTTGCACAGAGATGTAACAAGTTGGCTCATTTGGCTCAAAGACCGTGGCTTTATGACTATCTGAATCAAGCTGCCAAAATCTACCTCTCATCAGACAGATGCAGCTCAACTGCAGTTTGTGATTTCTGCTGTAATGCAGACCTCGGATACAAGATCTATAGATCAAAAGGAACATTTAGAATTTTACTTGAAAACTGATTCTTACTGTGGAGTGAAGAACTGTGCACTTAGGGAAGAATATCATCCTAAAGAAATGGTTTACTGTGTTACCAACACATATATTAGCAGCCACCTGCGAGTAAGTATCAGTAGAACTGCTGTGCATTACAACAGGAGGAAAAAGTGATTCAAAGAAAACAATTGCTTCTTTTTGGATACAAATATAAAGTGAAAGTTCTATTCTAGGTGGATAAATTGCTTTCAGCTAAAATCTCAACTTAATTTACCTCTTGACATATTTAAAACCAGCTATAGAATGAAACGGGTTTGTAATCAATACATAGGTGCATGGGTCATAAATACAGGTGCAGCTGAAGTATCCTTGCACTTCAGTTGCACTCCAACATCTAAATCTCCATCTGAGGGTGATAAAGACTTCTGACATGGTACAAAAGAATCAAATCTCCAGAAAATAAACTAAGTGTATAATGAAGATAAATTAATCTTTGAGGGCATATGTTATACAACATTGACTTTCTGACTACAAAAAATCTGCAAAGCATTACCCAACAAAAAGTCTCATTATCACATCAAGCTGCAGGTAATTAATAGGAACCTTTGCAATTAAGCTGGTTGTGCTCAGAGCAAAACAATCACAAACCATTCAGGTGAGACTATTTAATGCTCATTCATCTGTGGTGATGTGGGTAGATGTTGTGTAAGGTTTTTTGCTTCATGATTTGAATGCAAAGTTGTTCTTATGCTGTGATTTTTTTGTTTTGTTTTGTTTTGTTTTTTTTGTGCATGTGTCACTTCCCAACAGTGCATTCCATCATCCTCTATGGTGCAATTAATCAAAATTTCTCAATCCAATTAAACTAAGTAATGCTCTTGTTGTCCCTCGTGTGATTTTAGCTGAGTTGCCTGCTGGGAAAATGCCAGCTTGTTTTGCTATCTAGCTTCTAGGGGGTATGAAGCACAACCTCCCTGCAGGGCAATTCTTTTGCAAAGTGGAGACAAATCTGATTGCTTTGTCAGTGGTTACATGCTGAAACCAAGCTGAAGCATGCAGCTAATAGACACGGTGTTTTTTATGAGCTGATTAAAACAACGAAAATAATATCACTAAAAAAGTAACAGGAGAAGGAGATTCAGAAATACAGAACTTAAAATGCTTGGAGGGTTTCATTTAGTATTGTCCTGTATGGTTTAGATTTATTCTGCTGAATGAATAGAAATCTATTCTTTCAGACATTTTTATTAGTAAATTCAGTTGATTTGTGCAGCTGATATTTTTATGTTTCAGACAGATTTTGGATATTCACATTTAGATGCTCAGATGAGATAGGGCAAGCAGCTGAAAACTCAGCTCAGGAACATTTGTGGTTTATCAGTCTGTGGAACTATGTGGCATATCTAAGATAAATAATTATTTGAAAATGGATCATGATCAAAAGTTACAACTGTATTAAAAAACCTCCTCATTTAAAATATAAAGTAAAATGGAATTAATATAGATACTGGAGGAGGTAATGTTTTGTGGGCTGTACTGAAATCTTGGTGAGCTTTAGTGGCATGCTGTGATTAATGAAAAAAGAATAGCTTTGTTTCTGTTTTTGAAAGGCCAAATCCCATGATACTCTGAACTGGCTAAGTAAGTAGCAGTTGTTCCTTTTTGTTGTGAATCTGCTCTGAGCTGTGTAAAGCATTGTTATATAAATGGCACTCATATTTTTGTGTTTTTGTGAAATAGCATTGGAATAATTATCATATACCTGGTAGAAGAGTATTCAAGAAATACATATTTTCCATTAGATATTTTAACAACCACAGCTATGCTTGAAAGCAGGTTAAGAGTACAGATTTTTCTCAGTATCAGATGTCTGTTATTTTAAGAGTTTTGTTTTGGTCAGGATTTCTTCTTACAAGATATTCTCAAATCAAGAAATAAAAATATTAAAACTGAGATAGAAGAGTTGCTGAATAAAAATACAGTTTGAGTGAGATGTGCAGCTGAAACACATTCTAGGCCATCTTCAGGAGTGTCCCCATACCTATCAGTCCTGTGCTGTAGCCTTGCTGCTGCAGTATTTTGGCAAAAGTGGTTTCATTTGGAGGAAGCCCTCCTGAGCCGCCATTCCAAAAAATAACACGGTAATTGTTGATAGCATCCATCCCTAAAAAATACAGTCATAAACAACCTTAGTAAATATAACTGGTAGAGTACTTTTCTCATGCATGCTTTCTTGTTTCCTGGTTTCATTGATGTTACAGTGTTAAACTTTTATTCTAATGCTGTTTGTTTGGTGAAGTGACTCTAGGACTCTGAGCAAGATTAAGAAAGAGTTAAGTTGCTCCATTATATAATACCTATTCTTTGTATGTCATTTAAAAAAAAATATTTTATTTGGAATGGCACAGCTGTATGGGTGTATAGCTTTTATATGTCACAGTGGCATCCAGGCTGTATGAGGTGCACTTACTCAATGTGACTGTGCAGGTAGGGAAGAGGACAGGGAGTCCAGCCTGCTGGCAGCCTCAGACTCCAGCTCACATAAGGCTGCCTGGAAACTCAGGTTTTCCCTGCACAGTGACATGGCTGATACCCAACATCTGAAACCCACAGAGAAGCTATCTAGTACTGCAGTCTTCTCCTCACTTGCAGGTTTACGCCCTGTTATTTAGCATTATTTCTGGCATAACCCCATCGTACAACATTGTATGAAGTACATTCTGCCATGGAAGCACTGGATGTCTCTGGCCCTGCTGGTATATTGAAAGGGAGTCTGTACAAGCTCATGTGAGTTTTCAAGCTATCTGTCTCAGTGGGAGCCGACATGATAAAAGTAGGATGACATGTCAGCCTTAAAATGCCAGAAGGCTCCAAAGATCATTTGCAATTGAACAAGCATAAGAGAGTTGCAGTTAGACACATGTAAAGTTATTTGTTCCTCCTCTCAGGGATGGGGTTTGACAGGATGGCATTTTTTCTTCAAAACAGAACTGGGAAAAATAATATAGCTGTCAAAGTGTTATTTCATAGGGTGGATAAATTCTGTCACCTAGGTAACAAAGCTTTCCAGTAAATGACTCATTCTGCACCTTGACTGGAGGGACTGGACACACATCTGCATAGATCTACTCTGCTCCCTGCAGGGCTGAGCTCTTTCTAGTATCTGATGAGGAGTCACCCATGACAGAAATTAATGTAACTAGTGCTTTAGAAATGTGTTGTTATTATTACTCATGTTCTGTGTAAAGATCTTTTTGAATGTAACAGTTGGTACTAACTCCATTCTGGCTGCAGTCTGTTCAACAGAGCACCAAAAGTTAACCAAAGTTGTGAGCTGCAGGGGCAGCAAGCTGCCCTGCAGAGCTGGTTCTCCTCTGATATGCTTCCCCCCAGGTCAGTTTATTGTAGCCCATAAATATAGATGCTACCTTGAGGTTACTAGGCCTAGCTGGTGTGTCTTCATGTGTCCCAGTGATGGATGACATGTCTGTGGCACCCTTTCTATTTACACATCCTCGTTTCATTTGTGGCCATTGTATGGCAGCGTTCCCTTCAGCAATAAAGCAATGCTTAAAGGCTGCTTGGTTTAGCAAGGCAAACCTGATCGGAGGGGGTATCTGCCAGTGAGGAAAGCTGCTCTGCTGGGGGTGCACAGTGGAGCTGCAGCAATGTGTTGGGTCAGTCTCACTCCTTCCTTTGCCAGGCGGTCAATATTTGGGGTCCTAAAAATGCAACCGATGCTGTCAGACACCACTCAGAGAGTCTTCAAGAGAATGGGGATTAGGGATAATACACTTATCTTTATTATATCTTATTATATCTTATCTTTATTTTGGGAATTTTCTTCTATTTGAAGATGGCCAGGAAATTTTTTTTTTTTTTAAATTCTCTTAAGTGATGGGGAACTACTTTTTTTTTCTTTCTTTCTTCATTAACAGCTGCTATCTGGAAAGATTTCAAGCTAATCATTCCTTCTCCTTTCTCTATGCAGAGCCCCATCAGATACCTGTGATCATCAGCTACCTATCAGAAACTTGCTGGCTGGTGCCAATCAGCATGAGACACTGAGAACTTTGCTGGTTGAAGGCAGTGGTCATACCAAATTTGGCTTTGTTCAAAGAAGTGACAAGCTGGTAGGAAGCCATCAGGAAATACCATGCCATGAGTTTTGAAGAGAAAGCAAATTCTATGTCCTTGGGTCTGAAAAGAGAAGTATTTCCTAGTGACATTGCTTGTTGCAGTGATTTATACTGTTTTTTGATGTGAGACTGGGAAAGAATGGCAAAACAGGGTTAAATGAGATAAGGAAGCCCTGTATGTTGAAAGAGGGGACAACATTTCTATCTTTGGCTATGTGCAAGAGCTTAGCTGCTTCTCAGTGCCAGGCCCCTAAGGAATACACAAGAAGAGTTGACCTATTGCCATAAGTAATGTAAGATTGCAGTCTTACATTAAAACCCACACCAGCTCTGTTAATTGTTGTGCTCAGTTCCCTTACCTGATAGTGTCATTCCCATAACAACCAACATCCCCTATGCCCAGATCATCAGCCATCAGCAGGACAACGTTTGGCTGTGGGATGGTGGAAAGGTGAGTAAGAGGGAGCTGTAGCAGCAGGGCAGAAATCAAGGGTGTGACCAGAGGTGTCCTGAAACACAAGAAGAGAAGCCAATGACCTGGCCATTCATCACTCCCACTGCATGTGGCTGAAGACCCTCCTGCATGAGCTTGGCTGCAGACCAGACCACTCTGCCCAAATGTAAAGAGTGTGTTAAATTTTGATCATCGACCCAAACAGATATCACAAAAAGGAAAACATCATGACCATAACTTTAAAATCTCCTTTTCTGGCTGTTTCCAAGCTTCCTATGAGCAGTCTCACTTGGGAATTTAAATGACAGATGATGTAGAGGTGATTTTGCTTTAGTGGCTTAGGATTTTTTTTGGAAGTTGATCCGGGAAACTGAGAATGTGATCAAGTTCCTCTGACATTCTTCTCACCCAGACTGGGACCTTTGTGTTGTGAAAAAGTTAAGAACAAGAAAAACAAAGAAATAAACAAAATAACATTGTGAGCATACTTGCTCGGTAAGCCACACTACTATTTTATAATACAGTATTTTGTCATTACTAAACTTCACTCACTTCAGATCTAAGTATGATATAACAATAATTAATTAACATTTTTTCTTACCAATAAGATGTTAGTTGCCAAATCATTTTTGCATTTGGAGGTGTTCAGATCCTGCATAATCGAGGGAGAGAGCCGTGTCGTGTTTGCACCTTCCTAGTAGTTATTGCAATAAAAATAGATAAGACTTAATCAAAGTTTGACAACATTCTCTGTTTTATTTACTTCAGGGTACCTCAGATCAGACCCTAAATGAAGAAGAGTAAAGACATTAATGTTATTTTTATTGTTGGCAATTCTTAGAGGAATTTTTTTCTTTTTCTGTAGAGAAGTTTTTCTTAAAATAGCAAAATAATTCTCTTTTGTTACAGGACTCAGCTGTATGAAAAATACTTACTGTTCAGAAAGGAAGAGAAGAGCTTTTTAAAATCCAGTCCTCAACAGAATTTATTTTTCTGAAATCACAAGAGAGTAGCAGCCTGCTGTGTCTTCACATAATGTGCCAAGTTTCCTTTCAGGCTTGCAAGAGTTATCTTTAGTTGTAGAAATGATAGGACAAGGGGTAATGGGTGCAAATTGGAGCATAGGAGGTTCAAGGTGAATATCAGGAAAAATTTTTTTACTGTGAGGGTGACGGAGCACTGGAACAGGCTGCCCAGAGAGGTTGTGGAGTCTCCTTCACTGGAGACATTCAAAACCCGCCTGGACGCCTTCCTGTGTGATGTACTCTAGGTGGTCCTGCTCTGGCAGGGGGGGTGGACTAGATGATCTTTCGAGGTCCCTTCCAACCCCTATAATTCTATGATTCTATGATTCTATGAAATTCTAGTTATTCTCTTCCAACAATGACATTTTCTTAGAAGACATTGAATTTGTGACCTCCTGTTTGACTCTGAGCTGAGCCTTTCCCTTCCTTGTATGTATCAGATTTTGGGGTATGATGTTCTTCTCCCCCAACTCTGCACAGCTCTCTGCAAAGGTTCCTCTGTGACTTTCTATTTCACTGCCAGGACAAGACAAACTGTTTCAAGGCTATGAAGGAAGGGCCAAATCACCTTGGTTCAAAGGCTTTAAAATAGACTCCTTTCAAGTTTATCCCATGTGTGGTTGAACTATCCCAAGCATCTCAATTTTATAAATTATGTTGGTTTCACATTTTATTTTCCAGAAATTGTAGTATTTAGCAGCTTAATTAATATCCATACTTCTTACATTTTATTCATCAACTCTACAAACCTCAATGGGATAATTTATATTTCTATGCTTAGAAAACTGGCATCCAAACAGCTCTGCACATTTATTTACAAGCACCAATGCTGATGCAGCATCACTGTCTGCAGACATTGGGTTTCTTGTGTTTGGATTTGTGCCTTTGCTGAACCCTAAATAGCTATAGGAAAGATACTGGAGGACACCTTTTACATCTTTTACATATAGATATTGTGTGCCTCCAAAACGAAATAAAAGGGAGTTGGAAACAAAAAGATTTAATTGTGAAATTAATTGTCACTTCACAGTAAAGATGCTGTGCTTCAAAGCACAGCCTGGAGCTCAAGGCTGAGGTTTCTCAGAAGCTGCCTGTAAACCAGCAGGTAATGCAGAGAAAACAGTTCCTGCACTGAGTGAAGTTATCCCTGTCGAGCCATCTCCTCAGTGGAAGGCGACGGGAGCCCATCCAGAGAAACCTTAGCAGCTCGGGTGGGAGGGGGAGGGACAGTGAAAGCAGCTTGCCGTGTTCCTCCCCTTTCTGAGAAGTGAGGGGGGGCCCCCAGGTTCCTGCGCAGCAGTTGTAGCTCCTTGGTCAGCCCCCCCCAGCTGGGGCAGCAGCAAGCACCTGCCTGATCCAGCAGTTCGGAGGATGCCTTTCAGGGAACCTCTCTGGCACCACTTCAGCTAAAGTGGCACTTAACCCATGCTGCAAGCAAACTGTCCACTTTGCTATCTGAATTGAATTCACCTTAGAGCAAAACTATTTCCTCCCTCTTCCATTATTTAACCCCCCTAGACTAACTTAGATTTTATTTCTTTCTTCATTCATTTTAATAATCCAGGAAGGTACAGCTTCCATAGCTTTCATATTTTACTGTTTTCTTTTACTGACTGAACTGTTGTAATCTGTCTTTTCTATCAAAATATTCCCAAGACACTGAAATCCCAATTCAAGCCAGTTTGTGTAAGAGAAAATATTAATACATTTCTTAGATTCCCTCAGATACACTTTTTCACAAGGACAGTACCTATTTGTGATATCACTTGAGCAACACTCAGTGAAAGGTCTTACAAGTAATTGCACTCAGTTTGGTACTGTTCAGTCTGTGAAAATACCTTCTAAAAATTCCTTTTTTTTAGGTGATATAGATGCAATAAAACCCAGACTCATGATAGCAAGCTGCCTGCAGCTCTTACTTTATACATGAATTTCTATGAGAATAATGTTGTAAAGGGACATGCCTCTTAAAAACATTGAGATATTTTTATCAACAGAAGAAAAAAAAAATCCCAAATGCCCAAATTTTCCTGTGCATTTCCCAACATAGTAAGGGAGGAATACGGTACCTGGTCAAGTTATGCTCAAAGCAGGCAGCTGGTAGACTGAAGCTTGTGCTTATTTTCAGCTGACTTAAAACCGTTCCAAATTTTTCAGCACGAGTACTGCTGCCACAGCACAGCATCTAACATCTGTTTCTGAAAGCAGTCCTTAAATCTGCCCTAGCTGCTCATGCGCACGCCACCGCAGGAAAGCTGTGTTGTGTCAGAGCCTGCAAGGGACTGGATGGTCTAACTTACCCCAGAGCCCTTAGGCTGCACGTCCCACAGCTGTTTGCACAACAGTGACATTCATACACGAGTGAGGGTGGGGCTGGGGAACACCACAGATGTAGCTAAAATGCCTCCTGCCCAAGCAGTGGTTTTTCCAGGGAAGGGAAGGACCTCCTTCAAGCCTGAGACGCTCCCTCTCCTGAGAGGCACTGTAGGCAGCAGTTCCCCGTAAACCTCTCCTTGTTTACACCAAAGAAAACAGAAAATTGCTGTACTTACGAAGCAGCAAGTCTTTGTAGAAACAGGATTTGGGCAAATATCTTCACTTTATGGCGACCCCGAGTGCCTGCAGCAATGATAAGGTCATCCCTGCACAGGCAGTGAGAAACAGTTCCAGGGCGTGGGGAGGAAATGCCGGCAGGAGACCTGAATTTTCTTTTTTCAGAAAATGAGTCACTGGGCTTCACTTCTGTGCTGCCTGTTCCCTAGTCATCTCTCAAAAGGACAAATTAAAGTTACATGCTGGCTAAAGGTTGCTTTCTTTTTGAGATCTGTTGTACTAAGTGTTTTGGGACTGCATGAGATGCTATCAAACAGTGATCTTGCTTTACTCACAAAGATTTCTCTATGTTCTTGTCTCTTAAAAGAGAAGGGAGACATTGTTACAGGCTGGTCTTCACCAAGAGCAGTGCTCGGGTTGGTTTGCTAGTGGAGCACCTCTGAGGCAAGTAATGGCACCATAGCTGGTCTGTCCTCCCCTGGTCTCTCCCACCCCAACATTTCCATGCTGGAGTGGTTACAGGTAACACACACAGGAGACATCTGGTTTTCCTTCTCTCATTGCCTGCTTCCTTATCCTCACCATGTTCTGGCATCTGTGTCTTTGGAGTCCAGATTCCCCTTCACTTTAGCCCTTCAGGAGTCCTTAATGTATATACAGTTTCGTGTTGTCTGCTGCCCTCTTCTGTTCTACATTTTCTAAGAAGAAAGCACCTTCTGAGGTGCTGGGTTTTTCTGTCCAGGTTGCAATTGAGAGCCCCCTTGCAGCTGGAGTCTCCACCACAGCTCTCCTATTCAACTCGTGGCTTTTCTTTTCTTTTCTTTTTTTTTTTCCTCCGGGGTTTCTGGCAAATTCTATAGTATTTGTAAGGGAGAACCACAAACTATAGCTGCTATGTTATTTACTAAATTTAGAGTGTAGCAGAAAATTGACTGCATGTCTACAGTTACACTGCAGGAACACGTCTCTGTTGTTTTGAATGTAGCCTTCTTGTAACACAGAGACACTGACCAGGTCACTGTGGCAGGTAGCACCCTTTCAAATCTGGCTGCTGGGAATTACTGCCTGGGCACAGCCATGCTGTAAGGAAGATAAAGGAGGGAGGGTTGTGCTTGTGCTCTAAAGACTTTCACAGTGAAAACTTGTGCTTATTTTGGCATTTGATCTTTGCAGCAGGTAAAGGTGAGTGTGCTCTCCCTTAGTGCTGCTTAAAGACAGCATTTGTAAAAGGCCTAGGCAGAGCTAATTCTGTTCCCAGCCACTGCACTCTCTCGACCTATTTTCTTTTTCTGGTTTTCAAATAAAGGGGAAATCTGTATTTGTTCAGATTGTGGAATGAGTGTGGAATTTTTCAGAAGCCTTGCATACTCTTGTCTTTGCCCTCATTTTCCTTAAACTGGCTATTGAAGGAAGTAGCACTCACTGACACTGTTAAAGTACTTTAACATCTTAAGAGGTGAAGGCCTGAGTTAGCCATGGGTTGATACTGGGATGTGATGATTAACAGGCTCCCTCTAGCGACCACGTTATTTTTGAAAACTTACATTCAGAGAACGTGATTCACACTCTACCTTCCTAAAGGTCACCGCACAAGGATGTGAAATGTTGTTACTTCTTTGAACTCTGATTTACACTGGGTCTCCGAGGCCTGAATGCCCCCGAGCAGGGGCAGAGCCTTACCTGTTGTCCTGGAGCATATACTCCAGGTGTGTGACACCGGGAAGGATCCTGCTTTGTACGTTCCAGGAAGTGGGGGTGAGTGGGAACATCGCTTCAAAAGTGCACTCCTGCTGTGAGGTAAACAGCAATTCAGCTGCCTCAATTCCTGCCTAGGGCGGCTGCTCACAAGTCTCAGAGAACGATTCAGATTACTTACACACTATCTAACCTCTAAAGGAAACCTAAAAATCAGTGTGTGTCTCTATTTTTTAAAAACAATTTGCTATGCTGCCTGAGGGGTAGGACTAGATGAACTTTTGAGGTCCCTTCCAGCTCAAAGCATTCTATGATTCTAAGCATAACAGCCTGCACTGGCCAGTATAAATGGTAGGGGCCAGAAACCTGCATGTGAGCATGATCTAACTCCATCAGAGTGGGATGGGAACTTAGTTTAAAAATGGAAACCTTTTTTTCTGGGTCTTGCTCCCCTGATTTTTCGTGGATTTTTTTTTTCTTTTTTTTAAATTAAAATCCATGAATAAGGTGTATAAACAGAACTTATGACAGGAACCATGGCTATGGATTTCCCTTTCAGGAATCCTACCTTTTACAAGAGAGACAGAAGTTGTTTTTCTTCAGATTGGCTTGTAACTTGTTGTAAGGTAGTTAAAAGCAAAAAAGGCTGCTCTGTCCAGCTTGAGAAAAACTATTATAGCTCTTAAATAGAAAAGAAATAGTATTCCCCTTGTGCTTGCCTGCATAAGAGGATGCTTAATTCAGATTCCCAAGATTCTTCTGCTGGATTTATTCTCACAGGAAAGAAGAACAAAATAGATTTAGAACAGTTTTTAGGCAGTGGAGGTTGCTAGACTGAACTTTACACCAAAAATACTAAAAACTAAACCAAGAACGTTTTGTAAGTGTTATGATCAATACAGAGTGGAGAGATTTGAAAAAAATAAAAACAAACAAACAAACAAAAAAAACCCCAAAGGAAAACCAAACCAAACTCAACCCATGCATCTTTTTCTGACAAGCTATAAAATACACAAAACAGATTTTTATTTTGATAGCTGGTGGAAGCAAGGCACATAGCTAGCATGTTCTTAAATCCCCTGCCCTTTAAATGTGCTTAAATCTGTAAAAGGCTGGGATAAATCACAATATTGCCTGAGGATCTGAAGTTATTACCTGATCCTATGTTCTGCTGCTTTATGAATTTTCCATCAATGCAGCTGTTCTTGCAGAAACCAAGAGCTATAGTCTCAGTGGGGTGCTATTCCAACTACAGGGCATGGTTAAAAGTCCACAGTATTTTGTTTTAGACTGTTTGCTGATGCTGAGACTAAATACATTCACATAGGCAGAGACTATCTAGAAATATTACCATGAGGATTTGGCAAAATATTTTTACCAGCATGATAATTTATAAGATAAAATAGTGAAAAACAACAAACTGCCAACGTTACTAAAAAAAAACTAGATAAGGCACTCAGAGTGTGTCAGAGGTTTTAAATGTTTTTATAAACTTGAGTAGTATGAAGTCAAGAGTGCCTTTGTGCTAATATATTTTATAAAAGATTTTAAAGAGAAAGTATAGGAGGCTTTAGCTTTTGTTGGTTATTAATTAAAAATTAACAATAATGGGTATTAATAATGGGCCATTATATAAAATTCTAGTAAAATAAACAGCCTAACAACTTTGAGTATTTCATATTCAGGTCAATTTTTCTGTCTGCTGGAAAATGATTACTTAAATTCATGATAGAGAAAACCTGTAATTCAGCATCCACAGAGGTATAGAATCTTAAAAGTTAAAAAGCTCTTCAGAATGGGAGCCATGCCATAGGGCAAGTATTGCATATAGATTCCATATGACTTGCAAGTGACAGAAAACACTGGTGTTTGTCTGCAAAAAGACCCAATGGCACTACTGAAAAAACAACAGAGAGAAAAAAAAGAGAACAGTAACCTGGTATTGCAGAGCATAAAAAATAGCTCTTGTTAAATCAAAGTCCTTTTAAATAGTATTTTTGTCTTGCAAACTTGGAGAAGAGCATTGTCTTTTAGAACAGAGGATTTATTTCAGAGTAGATGCTCTTGCCTGTTTCCAGTCACAAGTCACATAAATCATCCACTGCAGTTCCAGGAGCTGAGCACCTGAATGGCTCCAGCACTGCAGAAAGGATGAACTGCAGGTTCATCACTGGAGTATTGTCTGTACTCATAGGGAATGCAACTTTGCTTCCGAAATTGATGGTGGGAACATTCCTAATGAAGCCACAAAGAAACAGCTTTGCTGTGATGGTCTGCATGGAACAAAAACATGGATTAGGAGGCCTGAAATGTTTTTATAGTGGTAGTGTTCTTAAGCCAAGGTTGTACTAGAGACTTCTGCTGGCATAGTTCTGTTGGCCGAGGGTGTGAAATGCATTTTTGCCAGTGTATTGTGGGAAAGAAATGGCTAAAACAAACTAAAATGCTAGAAGGTGATTTTTTTTTTTTTTTTTTTTGGTACAAAATGCTTTCTCAGCAGAACAGACTGGCTGATACTATATTCCACTGGGCCATTTAAGTGTTCTGAAAATAGATGTGGTCTTATGCTTTTCACTCATCAATGTGCTGTATCTTCTTCTAACATCTTATTCCAACATCTGTACACTTTGGGAGAGGTGAGTAGACAAACATATCAAAATACTCCTGGAATTTTTGGTTGCACCTTACATGCTGTGCTCTAGAATCCAAATACTATAGCATCTGTAGCCTTATAGAAATGCAGGGAACTACATTTCACTCACTCTATGCCAATTAGTTATAAATTTAATTCCTTTTCCCCCGTGTGTACTTTTTATTTTAATATGTCTGACTTTCCTACCCATTCCCTCCCTCTTGGCTTTTTGTGGTTAGTAACTAAGTACTATTTCCCCCTCCCCCCAC